CTGGTTAATTGTGATAAATTAGAAAAAGCTGGCTAATTGTGATAAATTAGAAAATCGGATTATTTGTTCGATGACAAATTTTTATTATAAGTTTTGATCTTAAACTTTTTATTTTTATGTTATAATTACTTTCGAATTTGTCATCGAACTTGAAAAATTAAATATCGAAACTGAAAAAAAAAATTATTTTAATTTATCTTAATGTTGGTATAGATTTTTTACGCAACGCCATTTGCAACCATGTTTTGGAATTATAACACCTGTACAGTGGCGGATTAAGACTTCTTGGGGCCCGGGGCTATTTTTGTTTTTGGATGCCTTTTTATGGGCCAGAGCCTAAAAATGACTAAAAAAAAAATTTGTTTTTAATTATTTTAAATTCAAAGAGTATTATATTGAAGTGACGTCAGATTTTCAAATAACTTAATTAAAAGCGCTATTTTCTAAAAACAAAAAAAATATGCCTTCTAATACATTGTCCGTCATTTCAACAAAGTGTAACAAAAACTCGTCAGTAAGATATTTAGTTAAAACTTATTTTTAATTTTAATTTAATATTAAATATTTAGTTTATGTAATATTTAAATAAATGATACAAGTTATGATTAAAAAAATAAAGTTTTAAAATATTCAAATATCATAACTGTTATACTTATAAGTTACCATTGTTGTACAAGACAAGACATCTTTAGAATAAAATATGTTTCAAAAATTTATACTATTGCCTAGGCAAACAATTATTAAAAAATATTTATACAAAACAAAAGCAAGCAAGTCAAAATTAGGACGCAGATAGGTACAAAAGTACCGAGTCGTTACTAAAAGTAAATATATGCTCTAAATGTGTACGAACAAAATATATATTATAACTTGTTATTTATGTTTAAACTTTGAAATGAAATTATTCCAAAATATTTTTATAAAAATTTCTCTTTAATTAATCAAAAATATGAAACAAGACATTGAATAAGCAATTATTACATTCCACTAACATCCCTAAAAAAATCTGACTTCTCAATTACATGTTGGGAACCACGCTTGTGTCCCACTAGCGGTTCTTGACGAAAATAAGAAAAAAAATAAAATCTATCAATATATTTAAAAGAATTATAAAATAACACTTACTAAATTTAAACAACAAATACACTCTTTTATTTTTCTTAAAAAAAGAACTTTGTTTTATGATATATCTTTTTTGTTGTTTTTCTTTGTTTTTATAATGTTTAAAAAATATAAATAGATGAATTTAAACCTTTTTTGTTGTTTTTCTTTGTTTTTATAATGTTTAAAAAATATAAATAGATGAATTTAAACCTTTTTTGTTGTTTTTCTTTGTTTTTATAATGTTTAAAAAATATAAATAGATGAATTTAAACCTTCAAAATGTTTTGAATAATCTTAAACTCTAAATCTCCTTTAAATATTTAAATAAATATTCAAATAAATGTAAAAATATATTAAGTATAGTATTGAATTTGTATACGTATATGTACGATTTGTAAATTTTTATATTTACGTTAAACAATACGTTATTTTTATATTTACGTATATTAAGATTTGTAAATTTTTTTTTTTTAATTAAATTTACAAATCGGTACATATATGTACCAATTTGTAATTTTTTTTTAAAAAAAGATTTTTCCTTTTTGCAAACTTTATAATTTTTTTTAAACTTTTTAGTTTCATACTTTTGTAGCTTGCAAAATTGGACAAAAACATTTTTTTTAGAATTCAATTGTTCTGGTCATAAATGGTTGAAATAAAAAATAATTTGTTGTTTAATTTAAAAATTAACTTAGTTTAATAACTTAGAAGTTTGTAATGTAATGTAAGTATTTATTATAAAAATACAATATTATGAAGAACGAAATAAAATAAATATATATAAAGCAAGTATACATAAAGTTATAAAATAAAAAAGATAATCAATCATAATAAAAACTCATTATTTGAATCTTCGCAATATTCATCATTTGAGTATTCAGATGATAGATATCATTTGAAACATTAAATGATTCCTTGTTTGAGGCAGGAAAGTCAAATTTAAATGCTCTTCTGGCAATTTATTCTTTGCAAAAAGTTCTCTATGAGAACTTATAACAGGGTCAATTGTTATTAAAAACACATTTAGAAGGTCTAAATTTTTAGAAGTACGTGACTGTTTTCTAGTATGATTCTCTCGGAATTTTATAATAAATTTAGACTTGGAATTTAGTGTTGGAAGAAATTTAAATAATTTTTTTAAATAATTTTTTACTTTTGTTGTAAGTAACAACAAATTTTGTTTTGTCTGTTATCGTAAGAAACAACAAATTTTGTCATTTCAATTGTGTTTCGTCACAAATTTGTTGTTTCTTACAGTCACCACTCAATTTTAATGGAAAAAATACAAACAATCATCTGTAGCATTGGAAACTGAAATCTTTGTTTGTAGATACTGTGTCTAAAACTTCTATCACACCCCCGTTTGCTTTTAACAATTTTGAAGGTGAATTTTTGAGAAAATGATTTTTTTCAATTAATGGTGGTAAAGGTGTAGTTATAGAGCGCTCGCCTCATAGGCGAGAAGTTCCGATTCCCACTACGCCCCTGGTAGTACCGTACTCAACTTTTTTCTCCGCGCAGTGGCCTTAAAAATCCGTGTTTCAGATTTATAAAGTTGAGAACGGGTTGTAACCACAACAAAAGTAGCCTCCTCGACTGTAGTAGCCTTCAAAGCCTTGAGGAGGTGAATTAAAATGAATAAGAAATAAAAAATTAAATCTTCATTTTTTTTTTAGTATGACTTAAATTTAATTTCAGTCTTATTTTAGAAGTAAAGAAATCTTCTGAGGTTACATTTAGATTTACATAAATTATGGTAAGACGAAATCTACATATCGTCTGCTAACACAAATTGCATCAATAGACTTGTTGTTCTAGTGTTTCTGTACTTTTTATAATAAAAGTAGCTTGATTTCTATGTCCCAAAAAACAATGTACTATTTCAGCAGCTGTGTTTAATTCAATGGCACAAAGTGATTACAGTAAATTGATTGCAACCCTACTTTCCCAGCTAACATTCTATGACGGAATTTCAGTGGACCTATATTGGCATTTTTAGCGGACTGCTGTAGTTTTGCTCATTGTTTATTTAGTGAACCATTAGTGGCAGCCGCCAAAAAAGGCTAGCCGATGACTGGCCACTATTAAGATTTCGGAAAGTTATCGGCTTGTCATTTATAGCGGCTGCCACTAATGGTCTACTAAGTAACCTATGAGCAAAACTCCAATGATCCGCTAAAAAATGGCTATATATGTCCACTGCAAATCTACTAAAACAATGTTTGCTGGGTCTTTTAAGTTTTAAAGTCACACTACGATAATTTTGCTCTTTTTTGGTATGATTTTTTCATTCTTTAAATAATTCAAATTTTACAATATATTTTACTATACATTTGGTTTGAAAAAAGTTAAATTGAAACTAAACAAACAGTCTAGGGCAGCTAAATTTTTATATTTTAACACATTAGGATTGTGGTTGTACTATACCAAATAAATTGTCTGGATAAATGTGCATAAAATTAGTTACATGCTTTGAAAATTAAAATACTAAAATGATATTTTCAATTTTTACATAGTTTTTTTAAAATCTGCAGGGCATCACTTATTTGAACTAAATTTCCAATAAAATCCAAAATACTTACCCTCCTAAGGGAAAAATCCATCACATTAAAAAGTTTTTTTAAATCTTGTTGAAAGGCATTGCAAGCATTTTAAATTTTAAAATGTTTACTTATTTGTTTATTTGCTCTCTGTTTGTCTTATTTATATCTTAAGTTGTTACCAATGAGGATATATTATTAAGAAAATACTATCAATTATTCATTACTTGAGCTGACTTTTGTCCACCTAGCTTGTGTAAAGCGATTCACTGTGCCTCGGGTCGTTCCATTTTCTTTAAAGGTATGGAACAATACAAAGAAGCTATAAAGCTATAAATCACCTCCGGTTCATGCTTTTGATGGCTCCGCGTTCCTTTAAGGTGTATTGTACCTGTATCCATACTGCTTTAGAAACTTATTTCCAAACCTTTTTTGACATTCAAAATTATTTTATATGCTAGTACCATATATTTACTTTAAATTATATTTTTAAAAACATTTTAAATGATTTTATTTTATCATTTACACGGGTGAAGTTTGAAATTGAAATTGAAGTGAAATTATTTTATCATTTACACGGGTGAAGTTTGAAATTGCTCCGATTTTATACATATCTTAAATTGAAAAAAAAAAAATTATTTTATGTAAAAATTTTAAGAAAAAAGTTTTTTTAATACAAACTTGGTTCTGTTTTTATGTTGTTATCTTCTACCATTTTTAATAAATTGGTGGTGAAATGAACCCAGTTTACTCTATATTAATGTCAAAACTCTTTGTTAATTTACCAGTTATGCAACTAGAGTTATTGTTATTTGTTGTTGTTTTTTTTTTTTTTGTTTTTTTTTTCGTTCTTTTTATAACATTTAAAATAAGCATTTCGTTACCATATTTCAAATACAAATATATAATAATAAATTTATATAAAAATATAATGGTCGTTATTAGAAAATAAAAGAACGCGGGGACTTGTAGAAGACCATACGGTCTTGTCGTCGAGTACCGCTAAGAAATGTTCGTGTTAAAATTTAAAAGATAATTACAAGATTAAAAAATAAAAATAAGTTAAAAAAGTAAGAAACTTAAAATACTCCATAATAAATGCAAGATGCGTTATATCTATTGTATATTATTGTACATAAAACAAATTGTATATTATTGTACATAAAACAAAGAATATTAAAAATATTAATCTCATATATATTAAAAACTTTCATTTCAAATAAAAGAGGCTTGGCATGAGTATAACGGTCTTTAAAATATATAAGACGTGCTACATGCTTCTGCTGACAATAAATTTGTTTGATCTCTTAAATTTTTATATTTGTTTTTTTATAAATCTGTTATATTTTAGAGGAACGGAGAAGAAACTCGATTGCATGAGAAAACCAAAGATAAAATGAGCAGCCAAAACTTAACAACATTGCAAACGATGTTTCAAAGTTCTGCTCAAGTAGGAATGAAAGGATTAAATATAGAAGAATTTGGTAATGCTATTAATATTGCGTTTGGTCAGACTGTTGGTAAAAAAGAATTAGAAAATTTGTTTTTAAAAGTTGATAGAAATTGTGATGGAAAAGTTGACTGGGAGGAATTTTGTTCATATGTGCTGTTTGAAAATGAACAGTTATTGACAACCAACAATGAAAATGCTGATAGTCTTTTCCCTAAACGTGCAAAAGAGCTCTCCCATCCCCATCACGATACAATAGTAATGCTTGGTTATTTACCGACTCTTGGAGGTTTTCAAAAAGGTACAAAAAATGGTATTCAAAACAGTTTAGATGTAGATACTTATGACAACACTTACGGACGATATATATCTGTAAGTAAAGACGGATTATTTGTGTTCTGGAATTTAGATTTTCAATTACAAAGAGTAGTCCACTTATCTGATTCAATTGGCAGAAAACCTCAACAAATGTGGGTAACAGATGTTGCATGCTTATCAAACGTGAAAAAAGTTGCAGTTTCAACAACTGACAGACATATTTTATTTTACGATTGCTCTGGTAATAACTTTGATATACAATTTATAATAACTGGATTAGATCATTGCGTGTTTTGCATGGATTATTGGTACGATGCCAGCGACTTAAACCATAGTTGTCTACTTTTAGGAGATGCCAATGGAAGTGTTTCTTGCATTACTTTTACCCTAGCAACTGTAGGTTTATTCGATTTTAGTATTGGTAAAGAAAAAGATAATACGCAATCTAATGTAAGAAAAATTTCATTTCAAGAACTAGTTGGTAATCGTCACACTAATGTCGGTGCAATAACATTTCATAATCTTCACAAAAATTGGGTTCGAAAAGTCAAATATATATCTATTCTCCAATGCTTTATTTCTTGCGCTAATTGTGCTCCATGCTCTCTGTTACTTGTGGACTTGCAAAGTAACAAAATTAAAACTTCATTTAAAATAGAAAAAGGAGTTTATACATTTGATTACGATAAAGAAAACAATGTAATTGTCACCGGCGGCTTAGATTGTACAGTACGCTTATGGAATCCTTACGTTGGGAGTAAAGCATCGTCAGTATTAAAGGGTCACAACTCCGCTGTGGTGCATGTTATAGTTTATGATCAAAAAATTATTAGCTTTTCAAGAGATAAAATTATAAAAGTTTGGAATACTCGTGATCATAGCTGCCTTCAAACAATTCCTAATTGTGTTACAGAAACTGGAGGCGTGCAACCATTCACAACAGTTTACTTTAACAAAAATGACAAAACTTTACTTTTAGGGAGCAACACTATTTTAGTACTTGGGAAAAAAGAAAAAAATTTAGAAAAGAATAATGTTAACAAGAACTGTAGTCATTCAAAACCGTTATGTGGTGCGCTTTACAATCCCCTTTATAATCAAGTGGTTAGTGCATGTCACGGTTCAGTGATAAACATATGGAATGTTTTGACAGGTGAAAATGTTCTTTCAGTATCAAATGCTCATGAAGGTTCTGAAATTACTGCTATAATGTTTGATAAAACAATGAAAAAACTAATTACAGGATCAGCTAACGGAGTTGTAAAAACTTGGAACTTTAGCAATGGAGATCTTGTTCGAGAAATAAAGGCCTTAGATGGAAACGAAGTAACAGGACTTGCGTGCCCAAATCAAAACTTGATTGTGGTAGGATGGAATCACAGAATCCAAGTTTACCATGAATCAGAAGATGCATCTATTAAAATATTAAACAGTTTACATAAAGATGATATTTTGTCAATTGATTCTCTTGAAACAGGGGTAGTAGTTACTTCAAGCTATGATGGTCAGGTGAGTTGTTGGAACCTAAAAACTGGAGAAATTAGCTTTGAACAAAATATTAATACTTTAAAAAAAAAAAAAAAAGAATCAGGGATAGAAGCTACAACAACGGAAGCCGAAGCAGCCAGGACCACAGAAACTATGAATAAAGAAAAAGTTAAAAATAAGATTATTTCAATTGAGAAAGTTTTAATATTGAAATCAAGGGAAGATAAAAGCAAAGCAGTAACAATTCTTTTTAGTGCGGATAAAAATGTTCAGGCCTGGAGTTCAAAGAATAATTTCCTTGGTCATTTTGATGCCCTTGATGAGTTGAACGACGGCTCAATACATGCAATGATCAGTGACTCAAAAAACAATTTACTTTTTATAGGAGATAGTTTAGGTATTATTTATATTTGGGATATAAGTGATTGTTTTTTTATTCACTCGACAACTACATTGAAAGAAGATAAGAAAAAGTTTGAAAAAAACAAACCCCAAATATGTTTGAAATTTAGAGCTCATGTAAAAACTATAGTTTCTTTGGACTATATTGAAAACACAAAAAATATTTTATCAGCTTCTACCGATTGTTGTGTCAGACTTTGGAGTGTAACAGGTGTTTTATTGGGAACTTTTGGCCAGATGGAAACCTTTAGTACAACAGAAAATATTTTTAAACAAAACTTAGTTTTAGATTTTCAGAGTTCTAGTCCTGCTATGACTTCAAAGGTGTTTAAAGCTAAACGTAAATGGAGACTTATAAACATTATTATAAGGTTTTTGTACTCTAAAAACAAAGAAAATGCACCGTTAGAAGTAAGTTTATTAAAAAACGCTCCTAAAAACACCGAACTAAATAATTTTTCTGCTCAAAATTTAAAATTTTTACTTGGAAAGAATTATAAACCAAACCGACATCATAGAAGTTCGAAATTAATTAAAATTAAATTCAATCAATTGCAATGTATTGTTTTTTCATCGCTTGAGTTAGCAAAACTATCATCAATAGAAAAAAAAACATCTCAAACATTTACCTTCAAACAAGAAGACGTTAAGCAACAAACAACTTCCGATTCAAAATCAATGAATGGTTCTATAGCAAATTGAATACTCTTTATTAAAAAACAAATAATTAAAAAAATAAACTTTATATATATATATATATATATATATATATATATATATATATATATATATATATATATATATATATATATATATATATGTATATATATATATATATATATATATATATATATATATATATATATATATATATATATATATATGTATATATATATATATATATATATATATATATATATATATATATATATATATATATATATATATATATATATATATATATATATATATTTTCCTCTATCATTGGTTTTTATAGCTCAATATTTTATGCGGAATTTTATAAAATCTGTCCATAATTTTTATTAAAAAAGCTCTACAGAGTTTTATTTGCGTTATTAAAAAAGTATATAAAACCTCCTAAGATATAAAACCTCCTAAGATAAGAAATCTTTTAAAGAAAATCGCGCTAGTTTCCACATTTTATATTTTAAAAACAGTTGGTACATTTTATAATATTAGGGGTCGTCCATAAAGTACGTACGCTTTTTTTTCACTACCCCCCCCCCCCACCCGTAATTTCTCGTACGCTTTTTTGAGTACTCTCAACCTCCCTAAAAGTACCTACGCTTTTTAACTAACTAATACAACATTTTATGATATTTTTTTTAAGTTTAGTGTCACCATACCTTTATAATTGACGTACTGCCCCCTTATCTCAGAAACGCCATTTGCAGACCTCCTCTTCCTCTCCGAGCGTACGTACTTTATGGACGATCCCTTATATTTAGGTTGTCTATTATTCTATATTACATCTGTTATCGAAAACATGTTTATAATTTTATAAATAACTACATTATGTGCACTAAAAATTGTTTGCAAAATGATTATCATAAAAGAAAAAATATATATTATTGACAATACTCTTGTTTAGGGAAAGGTTGCGTAAGATGAGCAGGTTCCTAAGATGGTATAACCTTTTTTACGGGTTGACTAATGATTTTTTTGCGAAAATTTTAGGCTAAGGATATTCATACAAGTTTGACGGTGTTATTTATTCCCATTTCTTGGTTGTATAGTAAATATTCTTTGATTGTTTTACTGTGAAAAAATCTGCTATCCCCGTTATAATTTTTTGTTATTCAATATTTTGTAATTACGTCAGAACGAAACAATATCATCAAAAATTTATTCCATCCTTAATATTTTATGCTTATCTATTGCTAATTCCATGGGTTACATGAGATAATACATAAGCTGTTGTCAAGGTATTTAAATCATGATAGAATTTGGTGAAGTTGCGGCCGTGGCGCAGTGGTTAGAGCGCCTGCTTTATAAGCAGGAGATCCAGGTTCGAAACGTGCTCTGGACATATTTTCGCGTCACAGTAAGGAAGGAAGCGCGAACTTCCTGGTTAAACGCACTTCCGCGGTGCTCTGTGACAAGACCGTTAGGTCTTCTTGGAGCACCTTAAAAATAATAACAAAAAAAAAATTGCTTAAGATGATACGTTTTTAGACGCTCAAGATGAGATGCGGCTTTTTATTGAGAAAAGCCCGTTTTTTTAAAGTTATTCTCCGCGAAGTTTTATTTTGGTAATTCAAGAGCGAAAGTTTTTTCAAAAAATAGTATCGTTTACTTTTTTAGAGAATTGTTTTTTTTTTTTATGGTTGAGATAATTACTTTTTATTTTTACTGCGAACGGACGCAAAACAAGGAAGTCAAAATGGCAAAAATTTTTACAATTGCTCAAGTAAAAGAAATTTTAGAAATTCAGGATAGTAGCATCTTAAAAATTTTTACTGATAAAATTGATAGGTTGGAGAATAAAGTTAATACTTTAAGTAATGCAAATAATATTCTTAAAAATGAATTAAACGATTTTAAAAAAAGTATCGGTTTTGTAAACGATAAATATGACAAAGTTTTAGTTGAGCTTGCCGAAGTAAAGTCTAAAAACGAACGTACGAACCCAAGTATTCTTAAAAACAATATAACAGAAACCATGGCAAATAAAATAGTAGAGCTTCAAGACAGAAGCAGGCGGAACTAACGGGATCGATGAATCTGATAATGAAAGTTGGAATGATTGCGAAAATAAAGTTAAAGAATTACTATTAACAAAACTTTATAAACTCATAAGCGAAAATGTTTTTAAAACATCAAGGTTAGTAAGATCGTGTACATCATTATGTTTCCAAAATAAATATATTTCGATGTAGGAAACTCACTCAATCACAAACCACAAATCGACATATGTTGACCACAAAAATAAATGAAGAAAACGATATCGGTAAAAAACTACACGCATCTAATTAATTTTACTTTAGTGTTCCAAAATAGTAAATCTAATCACAAAACACAAAATTGTTCATTATTAAAAAAACATAGAATTTCAGAGCCCATGTTCGGAACAAAAATTTCTGAAAATAAAATAATTGCAGGTGAAAGAATAGTTCGTAAATTTGACATTTTTGTCAGAGGGGTAAGCACTCAAATCAATGAAGAACTTTTTAAAATCCAGAAACAGAAATAGGAATCTCCCCCTTACCTGTTATATTGAATAAAGAAAATGAATACAATAGATCATACAAATTTACCGTAAACAACACAGAAAAAAATATAATATTTAACTCTGCTTTATGGGATAACAATATAATAGTTAAACCATACCGAAAAAAACGTTTATATGCTAACATATCTCAAAATCTGGAAACTAGATCAAAATGGATTTATGGAATATTTTTAAGGAAGATAAACTTCCAACAACATTTAATTTATGTACTTTCAACTGCTATGGTCTATAGTCTAATTTTGGGTATGCCAAATCGTTAATTCTCTCTCATGACATAACTTTTATATGTGAACACGGTTATCGAATTTATAACATTTCATAATAAAAAATATCTATAAAAATACCCACTCTTCATTCTTCCACTAGGCTAACAAACATGAGCAGGGTCGACCGTTTGGCGGAAAGCTTTTTTTATTCGGAAACATTTATTTCAAAACATTATTGTTCTATATAAAGATGATCATATCTTCGCAATAAATCTTAAAAAAAATCAGACTAATATTATATTATTGGCATTTATCTTTCATCGTCGCGCAATAATCAAACATCACTGGAGGATTACAAGAGTCAGTTGGATATAATTTCAGGTGTTATTAGTAACTACGAGGTCGTTGGTGAATTTATTGTCCTTGGTGACTTTCAATCTTTTCCTCACGGAATATATGATTCATTAAAGAGAGCTAGCTCTACGAAAAATAACTACTTCGTAGCTTTATAAAATTTTATTAAGTCGAATGAACTTGAATTAGTGGACGTAATAAAGGCTCTGGACCTAAGATCACCATAATACATTACCAAACGCATCTTACATAGATCACATAGCTTTCTCAAAGTATACGTCTCTTTTTTATTCCAACTGTTTCGTAATTCCTTTTTTTATCTCAAAACATGAGTGATCATTTACCAGTATTGATTGAAGTTGGAATTATTGGACAATCTTCTCAAGAAAACAATCATAAAAACTCAGACAAGTACAGCATTCCAAATTATGCCTGGAATAACAATGATTTTTTGTAATTATATAACAATCGCTTAAATACTAATTTTAGTTTTCACAATTTTACGAATGACAATTAGGATGAGGAATTTATCAAAGTATATACTGTTATTACAAAGTCGGCATCTGAGGCACTTAGTCAATATTTATCCATGAAAACAGCGTCATTGCATTCAAAATCCTTGTGGATACCCGAATTAAGCCGTAGTAAAAATATTCTTTCATTTTATTTTAAAAAATGGCGGGAAACTGGGTTCGTTAAAAACTTAAACTGGCAAATTTTTATTCGATACCGGATGGCACGAAAAAATTTCCGCAATGCTGTAAAAAATGCTCAAAATAAAAACCTATACAAAGAAAACAAATTGAAACGTTAAAAAATACAAATCCAAAATATTTTTGGAAAATTTCAGAAATATAAAAAAAGATGCAAATTCGAAATTGTATATCATAAATAATAAAAAAGATAAAGAATCGATCACGAAAGAATTTGCCTACAGTTTTGAAAATCGATTAAACTTTAAAGCAATCACATATACCTCTACAAATTTAAAAATTCCACCTTGCACAAAATTCGACGAGGTAATAATATCGGATGAATATATAAAAACGGTTATTTCTCGCCTATATTAAGCAAATCCAAGGATGCCTTCAGAATATAAGCTGAACATTTAAAGAACATTTAAAGAATGCGAGCTGTAAAGCACTAACCGATTGGCTCAGAAATTTTTTTAACTTTTTTAATAGCTAGGAATGGTCAGACTGAGGCGATGATCACAACTAAACCTTGATGTTTTAAAAACATTTTTGCTTATGGGTTTATAAAATCATGAAAGCGTACCTATAGTTTTAAACTTTATAAAGATGATTCAATTTATTTAAGAACGGGATTTTAAAGTAAACTTGTAAGAATGTACTACGGGATTTTAAAGTAAACTTGTAAGAATGTACTACGGTAGTTAACCATCAAAAAACTTTATTTACCTTAATTAAACCATAAAACTATAATATGCAAAATATGAAAGTTGCAATTCCCGATTTTATTTTGTTAATGTTGCAACTTATTTGGCTTTAGATAAATATTTAACAAACAAAAACGGGGGGATTTTTTCCAGGTAGGTTTTTTCTCAAAACCTATTTTTTTTAGTTCAAAAAATTTAAGTTAATGCAGAAAATATAATACGCTTCAATTAAAAAGTGTGTACCTATACTTATTTTTAGTGACGCATTATTAATCCGCGGTGCTCTGTGATAAGACTGTGAGGACTTCTTGGGGCACCTTAATCAACTTAAAAAAAAAAATCAATTTATTTGCGGTTACGGAAATTTGCGCTATTTTAAAATATAATTTCAGTTCTAACCGACAGAGTCTCAAATCATCCAATTTTCCGACAAAAACCGACAGAATTTTGTAAATCTGGGGAAGGGGGGTGTCCACCCCACACACACCCC